AGGTGACATCAAAGCGCACCGAGTGGGCTGTGGGAGGCCCTCCAGGGACAGGTTTCCTCACGTCGTCCTGTTTTCCTCCTCCAGCTCTTCTCACCCAGTACGGGTGACCTCACAAATTTGGCTTATCGAAAGGAAGTAACAGTTCTCTTATTTCCAAGGGCTTTGGGGAGCATCTCCCGGATGTCTCCACTGGTATTAATCACAGCTGCGCCAGGCTCTTATCAAAAGCAGCACCTTTCCTTGCATTTGTCCTGGAGAAGATTTTTTCTGCAGAGGGAAGCAGGCACGAGATCAGTAATTAACCCTCAGGATATTTTTGCCCAGCAAAGTCACTCACAAAAATGTTTGCACTAGCAAAATGCGGGATTTCTACATGGTATTTGAGGAAGATGTTATCTAGGTCTTAAGTACAAAAAAACAAATATTATTTGGCACATCACAGATTCACAGAAAGACCAATTACCTGACTAAAAATTTATTGTCACAGTAATGTATAAAATGAGTATAATTCACTAAAGTAACTCTTTGCCGAAAGTCTTTTAATTGGCCATATGTAAAGTATATGGTAATCCTTCCATTGCTGAAGAAAGGCAGAGTATTTTTAATGAATAGCGATTTCTTATGTTTTTTATTTTTACGTATGATACAATGCTAAGCCAGGCACCAAGAGTAGTTCCTCCCACACGCAGGCATCCAGGTATGGTCTTTCCTAGAGCTGTCAGAACATGGATTTGCTCTTTTGATAGGAGCACAGAAGGGATGAGTTACAAATCATCCATGAGGAAGTACGACTTGAAGGTTTTCACACACGTCTACACACACAGCCTTGAGATCAACCCAGGAATGCCTGACTACGTCCTCATCACAACCTGTACTCAAAGTATACAGAGTACACTCACAATACATGCCGTGGACAGCCCCGAAAAAATCCAATTCCTACAAATTGTATTGATTTTTATTCAAGATAACTTTTTGGTATATCAGTAACCATAAATAAATCAGTAGATTACTTGCTAAATTGCTAGTTATCATCGGTTTATGTTCATGATGCACTGTAAAATAAAGATAATAATGATAGCCCATAAACAGCACATCCATGGATTCCTTCTTAGGAACCTAAATAATCACATCATCCTAAAAGTTGCTTTTTGTCTTTTTGCTCCTCCTGTTCTCATGGAAACTTCTCTAGAGTGTAAAGGTTGAGTTCAGATGTTGAAAGGAACACAGCTGATATTTCTATTGAGAAACTGAAGTTATGTTTTTTTTTTATTGGGACTCCTCTAATTGTCATATGTGGAGTTCTCCATTGCCAATTATTGATTAATTTCACACTCCAGGAATTCTCTTAATCATTTCGACAGGTGCAGCTTCAAGATTGTTATTACATGGTCATTTTACATCCTGTTTTGGTTTGATATGCTTCCTTCCCAACACAGGGGTCAATGGCGCTAGGGACCCTAACATAGGTGAAACAATCTCTTCCATGAAATTGGATGTTTAAAATTAGTAGTTAACTTAATTAGCTAGATCATTAATATTATTTATGTTTTCAAAATGACTACATTCATAAAATATTATAAAATAATGTCTAGACATTTTTTGACAGTCCTATCTTAGGACTGTCCATTTCTTTTCCATCTTAGAAACTATCCATTTCTTTTCCATAGTGAAATGGGGGAAAACCAAACAATGGTTACACAGTTCATCCTCCTGGGATTCCTTGTGGACAGAAGGATTCAGATGCTTCTCTTCGGGCTCTTCTCCCTGTTCTACGTCCTCACCCTGCTGGGGAACGGGGTCATCCTGAGACTTGTCTGCCTGGACTCCAGACTGCACAGCCCCATGTACTTCTTCCTCTCACACCTGGCCATCGTGGACATCGCCTATGCCTGCAACACGGTGCCCCAGATGCTGGTGAACCTCCTGGACCCAGCCAAGCCCATCTCCTTCGCTGGCTGCTTGACACAGACCTTTCTCTTTTTGAGCTTTGGACATACAGAATGTCTTCTCCTGGTGGTGATGTCCTATGACCGGTATGTGGCCATCTGCCATCCCCTCCGATATTCCGTCATCATGAGCTGGAGAGTGTGCATTGTCCTGGCCATCACTTCTTGGGCATGTGGGTCCCTCCTGGCCCTGGTCCATGTGGTTCTCATCCTGAGGCTGCCCTTCTGTGGGCCTCATGAAATCAACCACTTCTTCTGTGAACTCCTGTCTGTCCTCAAGCTGGCCTGTGCTGACACCCGGCTCAACCTAGTTGTTATCTTTGCTGCTTCTGTGTTCATCCTGGTGGGACCTCCCTGCTTGGTGCTGGTCTCCTACTCGCGCATCCTACTGGCCATCCTGAGCATGCAGTCTGGGGAGGGCCGCAGAAAGGCCTTCTCCACCTGCTCCTCCCACCTCTGCGTGGTCGGGCTCTTCTTTGGCAGCGCCATCGTCATGTACATGGCCCCCAAGTCCCGCCATCCTGAGGAGCAGCAGAAGATCCTTTTCCTGTTTTATAGCTTTTGCAACCCCATCCTGAACCCCCTGATCTACAGCCTGAGGAACGCAGAAGTCCAGGGTTCACTGAGGAGAGCACTGTGCAAAGAAAGTCATTCCCAACTGGGGCGGGGTGTGAATCTCCAGTCTCAGTAGTCTCCTGGAATCTTGAGTACTGATGATCACCTAAGTTCACCACTCTCTTTGTATTTGCAAAGTATTCCCTCAGGAAGTATTTAGATTTTGCTACATTCATTATGCTTACTATACTTAACAACTTTTTTCATTTAACTGCTTATTGAATTGAGAATATCTAAGGGAAAAGTTTATTTTGTACAGTGCTATGGTTCCTAAACGTTTAAAGTTTAGGAACCATACACATTAACTTCTAAAGCAAAATGATTTATTTCCCTACAAGATAAGCCTCTAAAGATAATGTAAATGTACAAACAGTACCTAGATTGGCTTGTGAGAATCTGTTGTGCTGTGTTTGGGTAAAGACAGGAGGGTCTTAATCTTCAATGTGCATCATCTAGAGATAATGAATCCACTCTCTCTCTCTTCAAAGATCACCTGCATTCCTAGATAAGCCTCAGGAGATGGCTCATTCAACTTCACAATCTTCTATAGGGAATAATATGATATATGATATAGAGATGGCAGATGGCCACATACCGGTCATAGGACATCACCACCAGGAGAAGACATTCTGTGTGTGCAAAACTCAAAAAGAGAAAGGTCTGTGTCAAGCAGCCAGCGGAAGGAGATGGGCTTGGCTGGGTCCAGGAGTTCACCACATCTGGGGCACGTGTTGCAGGCATAGGCGATGTCCCGATGGCCAGATCC